TCGCGCCAATAGAGCAAAGACGAAATTTTTCACATTTGTTCTGCTATCCTTTTAAGGTATGGGAACACAGAGTGAAAAAAGTACTACGAAAAAGAAAACATGATGAAAAACTAGAAGAAAAGAGCTTTTGAAGAATACAATATTATTTGCGAAAAGTACTTTCTTCCTCCAGAAACGGCAGTTCAAAAACAGAAACAGGAAACGGGTAAAACTTTTGTAACAACCGAATATTTCATATCTCAAACAGTGATTCTCACTCAAGTCCAATATTATTCATACATCTAATTTTTACTTCCTGTGTTTTCAAGTTGTGAGGAACTGGAGAGAAAGATGGAAAATGGTCGCTTGTCGATTCAACCTAATCAAATGATCGATCTTATGATTGGTAACATAATCAACAGAATGCTTTTCACGGATCGATTTGAAAAAGTAAGGAGCAAGCTGAAGAAATGCTATATAATAACCTTTCTTTCCAGGACGAGGAAACACAATTCTTTGCCTTGAAAAACAAACTGGACAATATTTTCGACACATTTGAGCCTTACGATTTTCTCATAAACGGCTGGACTATAAACATTCCGCTATTCCGACGTCGAGCTGAGGCTTTGCTGACGCCACAGAACCAACTACTCGGCTTTCTCAACCGACAAGTTGAAAAAAGGTCAGTGGCTATCGTTCACAACTGAAAAAAGCAGAAACAATTATGGTTTTTCAGGGTGAAAGCCATAGCAGATGGCAGTCATGTTTTGGAAGGCGAAGGAGATGACTTTGTAGACGCCTTCCTCATCCAAATGGAGAAAGACGAGAAATCTGGATTGCAGATTAGTTTCAAGTGGGTCTAGTCTTATCACGAAAGTTCTGCATAACTGGGGGAGATGATGAACCTTGACGCTTACCACTCTTTTGTAGATTAATCTGCTAGAAATTGTCAATATCGTTGTCCCCTTTTAGCAAGGAAAGCCTTGGCCATTCCTTACTCGATTTATGGGCTGCTGGGCAGGAGACCACAGCTACCACTTTGATTTGGGCATTTGCTTATCTTCTTTTGCATGAAGATGTGAGTTTGAATTTGTTCTAAGAAAAATACAATCGGATAGCGAATCGGATAGGAACACGGACAGGTACCTAGGTGTTGTTTTTCTTGAGTTCCTTGGATCTATTATGCTGCTTGGGCATCATCGTGCATAGATAGACTTGAAAGAGGAACAGCTTGGAAGCGAGGGGGGAGGGAGGAGAGGGAACAGAATTTCTTCTCAATGGTGGTGC